GCATCAATCATAAAATAATTGTCTCAGAATTTAAAAATCTACCATAAAAATAAAGCTCACAAATAAAAGAGATAGGCTGACTAAGAGATGTCAATTTTCTCTAAATCTGATTCTAGGCAGATATATAAGAAAATTATTCCTCTTTCTATCTGTGCTACTGTAGAAAGTTTTTTCATACCATTTGACCTACGTTCATCAGTGCCTTAACCTATAAAATGGGAATAAAACAACCTGCCTCTTAAGGTTGATGTAAGAATTAAGTAAGGCATTATTTAAAGCACTTAAGAAAAATGATTGGTGCATATTCTTGGTAAACACCAGCCATTATTAATTTTGTTACTAATTAGAGAGGAAAGAGCCTAAGAAGTTAGGTCAGGTGTCATTGTCCAATGCCTACTGGACAACTGTGGGGCCAGGAAGTCCCAGGGACTCATAGCTCTGTCAGTAGTGACATTTCTTCTTTCTTCCCCAGACATTTCCCTTGCTTTTCCTCTTCTTGGAGAAACCCACAAAGGTGTTCCAACTTCTAAGCCCCACTCTTACTTTCTTATTAATCACAGATCTCTAGGCTCCAGCCTACTTTCCTCCCCTCTTGGTAACCACCACTACCCAGAAGACTGTCTCTTCCAGTCGGCTGGAGTCAGGGATGTGAATTCCCTGCCTCTTTCATTCACTTCTGGTCTGAGAGTATGAGACTCCCACAGTGGTATCTAAGCATTAGGGAGGATAGCATATGTCGGAAAAATAAAAGTAGGTTAATATGCTCACACTGGAGCACAGGTGCAAGAGAAGAAGCAAGAAGAGAGAGGAGTGGTCAGATCATGGAAGGCCTGTAAGGTTCTGCTGAGAGGCTGGCTTTAATCCTGAGGGAGAGGGTGAGCCAATGAGGCACAAGTCAAGCCAGGACCTGATCCTGTTTTCATTTTATGGTAAGGCTGTGTTGTGCTATAGCAATGAGAATGGGTTGGAAGGCCAGATCATTTAAAAGAAATGATAGGCGCCTCTATAAAAGCTGTGGTCATAGGGATGGAGAAAAGAGATCAATATGAGGAGACATTAAGGAGGCAGACTCACCAAGACATGGTGGCTCATAGGAGGTAGGAAATGAGGGGCAGAAGGAGCCAAGGACTATAGGGTTTCTGGCTTGGGAGACTGGGGAAAGGATGGACATAAGAGGAGGCAGTTGTGGAGAAAGAGAATCAGCTAGAAAAGGGGAACAAATGGACTCTGTGCTGGGGCCTCCAGAAGGAATACGGCCCTGCAGACACTTTGATTTTAGCTCAGTGAGTCCTATTTCAAATTTCTCACCTTCAGTACTGTAAGATAATAAAGTAGTGCTGTCTTAAGTCAGAGTTTGTGATAATTTGTTGCAACAGTGATAGGGAGCCAATATGGGCCATTTCAGCTCCAGAGCTTTCCATGAGGCCAGATAAGGCTGCTCTGGGGCCTGTATCATAGCATGACTTCTCCCTCTGTTCCGTCCTGCCTCCCCCACCTCCTTTCCACACGTGGCAGGGCACTAAGGTGCTCCCAAGTCAGCATCTGCTTGGGCAACTCTGTCTCGGAGTCTGCTTCCCACAAAACCCAACCTGGGACAGATTGCCAAAGCTCACGATGACTTCCTGTGATTACAAAT